GATTTTATTTAGGGACGATTTTAAGTATAATTTTAATTGGAACACAGCCTCTAATATTTGGTTTTTAATTTGGTTTTAGAAGGGTTTTATTTTTGTATATTGTTATTGTATCTGTTTTTAATATGCTGTGCACCGCCCTGAGTCCTGCGGGAGAAGGGCGGTATAGAAATTAAAATAATAATAATAATAATAATAAACACGGGTCTGGCATGGCGTGTGAATGCGGCCATAGGGGAGAGATTTGGGGCACAAGGCTGGCTGGGCTCCTTGGGAGAAGGCCTGTTGCCCCTCCCTGAATGTAAGCTTGAGATTGGCTTGATAGTAGTAGGCCAGGCTGGTTAAGGAAGGGCATTTATATAAATAAATCCATGTTTCCCTTAAACTCCTGTGCTGTAGACAGATAAACAGATAGACATAGATGGATGGATGGATGGGAGGATAGATAGATAGATAGATAGGTAGATAGATAGATAGATAGATAGATAGATAGATAGATAGATAGATAGATAGATAGATAGATAGATGAGGGATGGATAGATGAATAGATAATGATAGATGGATAGACAGACGGATGGATGAGAGGATAGATGGATGGATGGGAGGATAGATAGATAGATGAGAGGATAGATAGATAGATGGATGGATGGATGGATAGATAATAATAGATAGAGATAGATATATATGGATGGATAGATCATAGATGAGGGATGGATAGATGAATAGATAATGATAGATAGATAGATAGATGATAGATAGATAGATAGATAGATAGATAGATGAGGGATGGATGGATGGACAGATGAATAGATAGATAATGATAGATAGATAATGATAACTAAATGATAGATAGATAGATAGGTAGGTAGATAGATAGATAGATAGATAGATAGATAGATAGATAGATAGATAGATAGATAGATAGATGAGGGATGGATAGATGAATAGATAATGATAGATGGATAGACAGACAGATGGATGGATGAGAGGATAGATGGATGGATGGGAGGATAGATAGATAGATGAGAGGATAGATAGATAGATGGATGGATGGATGGATAGATAATAATAGATAGATAGAGATAGATATATATGGATGGATAGATCATAGATGAGGGATGGATAGATGAATAGTTAATGATAGATAGATAGATAGATAGATAGATAGATGATAGATAGATAGATAGATAGATAGATGAGGGATGGATGGATGGACAGATGAATAGATAGATAATGATAGATAGATAATGATAACTAAATGATAGATAGATAGATAGATAGATAGATAACCTTTACTGTCATGTTTTTACTGTGGCCACATTGGCACACATTAAAAATGAAATTTAGTTGGTTGCTCTCAAAGTGTACACATACCTAACACACATTTAAACCTGCTATATACAACATATGTATAAACCTACAACCTTACTTATAAATAACATAAATATTAATCACAGTC